TTACCAGTCCCTGCTCTCCTGCAGTGGTGGCAGCAGGACAGATGCTAGGCTAGAAAAGCAGTGAAGTGCACGTTGGGCACTTTTGTCTTTTGAGAATTCTGTACCCCATCAGCTGCATTCTGCAAGCTGTGCTAGAAAGTGCCATCGAGTCACAGCTGACGTGCGTTGACCCCACAGGGTTTTCAAGGCACAAGACGTACAGAGGTGGTTGGCCGTTGTCTGCCTCTGCGTAGCCACCCTGGGCTTCCCTGGAGGTCTCCCATCCAAATACTAACCAGGGCCAACCTTGCTTAGCTTCCGAGGTCAGACAAGATTGGGCTAGCGTGGGCCAATCCAGGTCAGGGCGTTGTACAGAGTATGCAAAAGAACAACTTCTCATGAGCTTGTAATATTTGACATCGTTCAAGTTTTGTTAGGCTTGGGGGAGGACAAGAAGCCACATAAGGCACCGAAGCCCCCTCCTTTGGCCACTTGGAAACCTTATTCAGCCGCCACCACTTTCATCTGTTTTGCGGAGTTTCGGCAGGCCTTGCCCCCAGGCGTTCGTCCATACTGTGGCAACTATGTGGGCTAGAGACTTTACAGGAAATGAAAGCTGAGCGTCTCAAGATGTCTGATTCTGGGCCCTGATAACCACATTCCAGACTTTTCTTGCCCTCGTGTGGAAGTTCAGGATGCCCACAGCCCTGTCAGTTCAAAAGTTCATGTCCTCCTACTTTTACTTCAGTGATACTGCTCATTTATCCTACAGGCCATGAGCAATGTCACACCAGATACAACAAAAAATAAAGTCATTTAAATAACCAACCAGTTATCGCACTCGAGGTCCTTCAAATGTAATTACATGAGCAAAAATATTGGCTACAGCCAATGTAACTCCTAAACCCATGCCCAAAATGTATTCGGCTGTCCTCGGCCAGTGCCAGGGTTTTCTCGGCCCTGGCACTCACCTGGTGGAACTCTCTGCCAAATGACATCCGTGCCCTGCGGGACCTAGCTCAGTTCTGTGGGGCTTTTAAGACAGAGGTGTTCCACCAGGCTTATCTTTGAGGACAGCAGTGGTTTTTTAGTTATCCTGGCTCCTTCCTTCCTTCTTCCCAATTGGGAAAGGGTATTAAATTGTGTGTTTATTGGCGCCATCTGAATTTGTTATCTGAATTGTTTAGTTGAACTGTTAAGCCCCTTTTAACCTTAATTTTAATTATACATCATAGTATGTATCTTTGGAAATGTCATTCCCCGCCCTGAGTCCTGTCTGCAGGGAAGGGCAGGTTGTAAATCGAATGAAATAAATAATAAATAAATAATGCCTGCCAAGGGCTTCTTAACCATGTTTGATGTTAACAACCAATTATTATCACAGAAAAGAGGTGGGATCATAGAATCATCGAATCCCAGAGCTGGAAGGGGTCCTACAGGTCATCTAGTCCAACCCCCTGCTCAGTGCAGGATCAGCCTAGAGCATCCCTGACAAGCGTTTGTCCAGCCGCTGCTTAAAGACTGCCAGGGAGGGGGCGCTCACCACCTCCCTAGGCAGCTGATTCTTCTCCAGACTGAACATTCCCAAGTCCCTCAGCCTTTCCTCATAGGGCTTGGTCTCCAGGCCTCCCGATCATCCTCGTCACTCTCCTCTGCACACGCTCCATTCTGTCCACATCCTTTTTGAAGCAAGGCCTCCAGAACTGCACACAATACTCCTGGTGTGGCCTGACCAATGCGGACAATGACATCTTGTGATTTGGACGTTATGCCTCTGTTGATACAGCCCAAGATTGCATTAGCCTTTTTTATTGCTGCATCGCACTGGCTGCTCATATTTAACTTTCAGTCCACCCTTACTGCAAGATCTTGTTCACACATACTGCTACTCAGAAGTGACCCCCCCCCACTCCTCCTCACTGCTGCTGTATCTTGCCCACCATCCTGGCCTTCTCACTGTTGCTGTCCCTCCTTGGGCCACCCTGTAGACAGAAAAGAGGAGGTGAGGGGGATCTACCTGGGGCATGTGGCTGATGGCTCCAGAAATCTCAGGCCGGCTGCAATGAAGAGTTTGCATGTTCAGTGATGGAGACCCTTATGTTGAACAGCAAAGCAAACTGCTTGAAAATAGAAAGGCTTTCTCTGGTTTTGGTGCAAGTCCTGAGTGCTAGTGACAGCTCAGATGTGCAAAATCCTGGTTTATAAAGTCCCAGGAGACTGTTTAGGTAATGATGTTCCTGAGCCATTAGTAGGCAAGGAAACACACAATTCCTATGCTTGTCTGATCAGACAGGGAGCGGAAGAAGCAGTCAGAGTCCCCTGAAAATCAGAGAAACGTTCCACATTGGGTAGGCATGTTAGTCTGTTGTAGCAAAATCACACAGGAGTCCGGTGGCATCCTAAAAGACTAACAAAAAAGTTATCTCAGCATGAGTGAGAGCAAAATGAGCTCCAGGTCATGAAAGCTCATGGTGAAATACATTTTTGTTTGTCTTTAAGGTGCTGCTGGACTCCTGTGTGAAATTCAGAGGTGGTTTTAAAAAAACCCTGAAAGCGAAAAGCAATTATGACTTGGATTATTCTCAAACGCACTTTTACATCATGGCCACAAGAGGGCAGCCCTGCTCCATTCATGGAATCCTCCAGTACTTGTTTGCATTCCAATTGCCACTTTAAGCTATTGAGTGCTCACATAGCAAGGCTGCCAAGAAAAGCTGCCCGGAACAGATATTTCTGCATTTCTGTGAATGTGTCAGGTACAAACTGGCCCCTGTGGCCCTTTGGCTCTTTAGGATCAGACCCTAGGGAAGGGCTCTGGCCTTGAGTGTTCTTGATCCCACAGTGGCTAGAGGAAGAGTCCCAGACAAGGATCCCTGAAATGAAATGAAGCTTTCTTGAAAACGTCTATGCATCCTAGTCCAAGCTCATTCTCACTCATGCAGTCCCCAAGTTACCTTGGCCAGACCTGCTGATATAGTCAGGGTGCTCAAGGCAGAGAGTTCCACTGAGGGTGGAAGGAGAATTCTGCCTGGCCCGTCTCTGGCCCCCTTCCTTGTATTATCATTGATGCACAAGTGCACTGAATGTGAATCTGTGTGAATCAGGATGTCCCGTCACGTTTCCAGTCTCTGTGTTGTGCCTGGTTCACTTGAAGAGCCCACTGCATTCTCGGGTGTGTTTCTTGGTCTTTGTGACTTCCGGACTCATACTCATTCATCCCATTGAAGTGCAGCGTGGCCAACAATGTCCAAGGGGGGAGGACCCTGGAGGACAGCTGACCAGCTCCTTCCTCCACTGATCTTTGTAGAATGACTGCCTTCAAGTTGCCTTGAAGTGCTACCCATGAGAAGAGGCAGGGAGTGATTTTAGCATATGGGGCGTCAGGGACTCAGAGACAACAATGGAATTTTGAACCGTGGTTATTTTCGCCTGGAAGCTGCGCTGCTAAGAAATGCCGTCAAGTAGCGTGGCTGACCCGAGAAAGCGCTCAGTGTCCCTTGGCAACTAAGCAACTGGCTGTTTGGCTGTGGCGTTCAGCTGTTCGAGAAATGCGAGTTTTATTTTATTTATTTTATTTTTTTAAATACCCTCTCTCGTTCCTTGGAGGTCTGACCACCTGGGGACTATGGAGCTGTCCTACCTATAACAGGCCTTGGGTGCAGAGGGCCAGAGATGATTCCTACGGGCCTTCTGGCCAAGGGCTACTTCTAGGAATAGAAACCTAATAAAGGCTGAATTTTGTTACATATGGTTGTGTTGTCACAAGTTGTCAGATCCAGGGAAGAGAAGGGGAAATGTCACTCTTCCATACTCACAGGAGACGTTTGGTTGTGTATTAGCACTGCCACAATGTCATTTTGCAAAAGAAAAGATGAATCATGACTGATGCGTGCAGCATAGTCCTAAGTAGAGTATCTCCCCTTCAAGCCCATTGAAGTCAATGTTTAGGATTCTGCTGTGAAGCTACTGCATGGGCCGTTCATCCCCACTGGTAGAAAGACCATTTCTTTTTGTATATAAGGCATGTAATGAATGCATTCAGTGCACAGGCTTTACACACACAGGTGGGTTTCCAGGGCGTCTCCCCCTCCAGACCTTTCTCTGCTTCAGCAAAGTTGCACTGCTGTGTGTCCATCAGCCCTGCCAGGCGAGGTTCTGAGGTTTTTCAGAGGAGGTATTTTGTTGTTGCTCACGATCTGGAGGACTCAGGCCTGGTAAAGCTCTTTCTGGGTCGTTCCTCTTCAGACTGCAGGTGTAGGTGAGGGATGCAACTGAACACTCTTCTATAAGCGAGAAGATTTCCTGCACATAGAAAAGTAGTGTGTCAAGGGCCAGGCCAAGCTAGAATCCTTCTCCCTGACACCTTGTTTTCTATATGCAGGGTGTGTGGGAAGGCTCTTTTTTGGTATGGAGGAGCAAAGAGTGCCGTCAGCCCCCTTCTGAAGTGGCGCATTCCAGACGCAAGCTTGTCATCATCTTGAAAACTAGGCCTCAGGTCAGAGCCAAAAAAACCCCTAGCTCATTTTGCACCTGAGGCAAGAATGATCAGAGCCCAAAAAAACCTAGCTCATTTTGCACCTCAGGCAAGAATATAAAATTGTGCCCCCTAGACTTATACTTGGTCACTGCCACCAGTGAGAAGTCGCAGTTATTTTGGTAAAAAGTTATTTTGGTCACAGTTATTAGTTATTTTGGTAAAAAGATAAATGCGTAAATAACAAGAGTAACAACGCAAAGTTTGTGTCAGTCACAATATACTTTTTCCTGCACCCCTCAGCTTTGTGCACCCAAGGCAAGGGCCTCACTCGCCTTGCCCGTGTTCCAGCTCTGCCTCAGATAACCCTTGCTAAAATGTTGGCACCAAAACTCGGGTGCCGGCAAAAGTACAAATGTGTGTGAGGATTCAGATTTTGGAAGACTGACCAGACTTTCTCATTATAACATGTTGTGTTGTTTAACTGGGGAAGATGTTGACTCCTCCTGGCTTGCAGAGGTTTGATGGCTATTACCAGAGCAGCAGCCGTGGATCATCTCCATTGTTAGGCATACCCGTCCTCTTTGAATGTGTCCCGTCTCCTTTTAAAGCCATCTGAGTGACTGGCCATTGCCTCCTGCTGTGCATCCAGCTTTGGCCTGTGAACCACCAATTGCTGACCTCTAGCTAGCACTGGACAGGATGCAGTTCCCTTCTTATACTCCTCTCCCTCATTTTCTTCCTGCAGGAAATCGTTCCTGGCCAGCTGAGCCTCGAAGATCTTCTGGAAATGACAGACGAGCAGGTCTGTGAGACGGTGCAGAAGTTTGGGGCCAACAGAGAGGAGTGTGCCCGCCTCAACGCCTCCCTGTCCTGCCTGAGGAACGTCCATAAATCAGGTGCAGTGGGCTGGCTTCTGTTCTTCCTGTTGACTGACTGAAAATGCAAGACAAATTGGGGGAGGGAGTGGTCCTTAGGCCACTGTCCCTGCCCTTCTGCCTCACGCTTTGTTCACTGCAGGTCTTTGGCCGTATCGGAGGGAGAGGCTGTGTTCTGTAGTGGTTTGGTGTAGTGGTTAAGTGCGCGGACTCTAATCTGGGAGAACCGGGTTTGATTCCCCACTCCTCCACTTGCAGCTGCTGGATGACCTTGGGCAAGCCGTAGTTCTGATAAGAGCTGTTCTTGAAAAAGAGCAGTTTCTGTCAAGAGCTCTCTCAGCCCCACCTACCTCACAGGGTGCCTGTTGTGGGGAGGGGAAGGGAAAGGAGTTTGTCAGCCGCTCTGAGACTCCTTTGGGTAGTGAAGGGCTGGGTATAAATCCAATCTTCTTCTTCTGTAGTGGTTTAGAGCATTGGATCGAGGGAGGACCTGTTTTGGAATCCCTGCTTGACCCCTGAAGCTGACTGGGCCAATCTTTCTTTTTTGGCCTAACCTACCTCACAGGGTTGTAGTGGGGATAAAGGAATTGAGAGGAAACTCTGTACTTCACCTTGAACATGGATGTAAGGGATGGGGTATAAATATGACGAATAGAACAATTTAACTGATCTGGTTTCTCTCTCTGGCATCCCTCAAGTGAGAGATTTGTCATTCAGCTACTTGAAGGGGGAAGACCCTGACCTGGATAGTCCAGGCAAGCCTGATCTCAATCTCATCAGCTCTCAAAAAATAAGAAGGGTCGATCCTGGCAAGTAATTGGAAAGGCGACCTCCAAGGAATTCCAGAGGCGGGACACGGAGGCAGGCAATCAAGCCACCTCTCTGAAATATCCAAACCCCACTAGGGGTTGCCAGAAGTCACCATGGCTTCCAGACATGCAAACACACACACACACACACACACACACACAAACACCACAAAAAATAAGGGGGGAGGACAGCTTTAGCAGTACTGCTGTGTATCAAGATCCCCTTCATCCACATACTCATCCTGCCCGTGGTGTGCTAGCTAGGTTGTCCCCTGGATGGAGATGGCGAAACCACTTCTCAGCTGTTTCTGGGCTCTTGCAGAGTGGGAAAAGAGCACCTTGCCGGTTGGCAGCTTGGCTCGTCCACTTCCTCCGATCCCTTCCAGGATGCATCTGGCTTTGCTGAGGTGAGGAACTTCTCAGGATAGTTGAGCTGGACTGGAGTGGTCCAGGTTAGAAAGAAAAGTTGCTTTCTGTGGAATGCCCCTCCTCCCATTTTTTTTGGGGGGTCTGCAAAACGAGGGCAAAACATTCCATTGAGAGTTTGCAAAAAGAATGCACAGAAGGGGGAGGGGACTGAACACACCGGCCCACCCTGCCTATGTGCATTCACTGACGGTGTGGTATCAGGGCCTACATGTGAGCATACATTTGGTACTCTCACATGTATAGAGCCACAACCGGTGCGTTCCACCCAGAGCAAGGACAGTCGCTCAGTCCTGTATATGTTTCTGTTCTCAGAGTGTTTGAGAAGGTAAGTTTTCCACTGTTACGTATCACTACAAGAAGGGATGTGGGAACCTCTGACCTGACTCGTGTCACAAATATCTAGGTTGGCCCAAAGTATCCATCATCCTCTTAAATGGTCAGCTTTGTGAATCGCCGCATTGACTCTCCATGTTAAGCTTCAAGCCAGAGGAAGGCTCCTCCGAGCTAACTTACTATTGGTCGCTCCACAACGGCGACCAATCAGAACTGCGCCAATTCCCTGCGAGGGAAGAACTCTCATTGGTCGTTATTCGCACAACCTCATTGGTTGTGTATTGTAAAGAGGCGTGGCTACATTAGCCCGGGAATGTTTAAAAGGAGCCTAGCTCCCAATGTTAAACTGTTCTGGTTATGACTTCTTTCAAGCGCTTGTTCGTACCTACAATAAAGCTGACCACTTTTGCTGAAATCACTTTCCGGGTCTTTGTTAGCGGCGATCTAACACTTTTACCCAGTTGTAAGAGACGTACAGTGGCCTGTTGCCCTGGGTCTATACAGGAACATAAGCCCTGCAGGATTTTACCAAAGGTCCATCCAGTCCAGGTCCCAGAAGCTCACCAGATGTTTTAGGAAAGTGCACAAACATAGATCCCCCTGCCAACTGCTATTCAGAGGGATACTGCCTCTGAACATGGAAATCCCCTGTGACTATCATGGATAGAAATGCTGCTAATCTTCTTATCTGTGAATTTGTCTAATCCTCTTTCAAAGCAACACACACTAGGGCTGCCAAGTGGGGGCGGGTGGCGGGTAAACCCCCGCTTTGGAGGCCTGATTTCCGCCGCCGCCGTGGAATCGGGCCCCGGGGGGAACTCCACCCCCCGAAGTGCAGTGTATTCAATCACGTTGGGGGCGTGGCCCGGATCGTTGTAGGAAAAACTCTATGGTTTTCCCTCCAACGATCGGGGCCACGCGTCACTTCTGGTGATGTGCTGGTGGCGTGCGCATCCGGGGACGGCTCCCGGAGCCCGGCGAGTCTCCCCCGCCAGTGTTTTTTGGACTTGGCAACCCTAACACACACACACCAATGGCCAGTGCCATAGTTTGTGGCAAGAAATGCTACAAGCTGATTTTGCCTCTTTCAATGAGAATTTGGGATAATTCTTAGCATGCTCCCTCTCCCAGATCGATCAGGGGCTCTGGCTGCAGGGGAGCCTTGAACATGATTCTTTCTTGTCCGGCATAGGAGATCTCCTGGGATTACAACTGATCCCCATACTACATAAATCAGTTCCCCCGGAGGAAATGGTTACTTTCAAAGGTGGACTCTATGGGTGATTTCCCACAAGCGCTGCTCCGCAGTCACTCTTCTCTTTGGCCCGATGGTACATGTCAATTTCACGCAAGCTGCTGCACGACCGCATTTTGTCTCGCAACTTCGTGTGATTTTCCCTGCGTCTACTCAATCCTGTTTTTTGAGCTGTGGGGCAAAATGTGGGCTTGCAGCAGCTTGTGTGAAATTGACACGTACCATCGGGGCAAAAGGGAGGAGTGAGCGCGGAGCAGCACTTGTGGGAAATCACCCTATGGCATTAGAAAAGAACAAGAGTCCAGCAGCCCCTTACAGACTAACAAGATTTGTGGCAGGGGATGAGCTTTCGTGAGTCACCGCTGACTTCTTCAGATACAGGGACTCACGGAAACTCACTCCTTGCTGGAAATTTTGTTAGTCTTTAAGATGATACTGGATGCTTGCTCTTTTGTACTGCTACAGACAGACTCACATGGCTACGCATCTTGATCGATGGCGCTGCACCCCACTGAGGTCTCTCCCATCCCCAGAGTCCACCACCAAATCTCCAGGAATTTCCCAAATCAGAGCTGCCAGCCCTAAAGGCAGGAGTCGGGTTCGAACGTTCTGCCCAATAAATGCAAAGGGATGATTGACAGACACTTCTTTAAGTGATTTAACTTTCATCGCACTTCATAGATGATGTGAACTTTAGGATTTGCCCAGCATACCTCTCTTTGTTCTCCCTCACTGTCTTTTGCGGTGAGCTCATTCCCCTTGTTTATTAGATCCTAGAGCGAAACGGCCATGGATACCTTGGAAGAGGCAAAGCCTTCTCAAATGGCCCACACTGGCCTGTTGACTTTTTAAAACGTGTCTCTACAACAGTGGGGGGTAGCGGCAAACGCTAGGGATTCAGTGCCATTGCAGCAATAAAGAAGGAGAGAAGACCCAGCAGTTAGCCCTGCAAAAAAAAAAAAGGAGTGCCGCATTAGTAGGGCACCTGCAGTGATAAAAGCACCCCCCGCAGCCCCGGCCCCCTCAATGCCTGATTCCTCTTGAGAAAGTAAGCTTGCGTCTGGGCTGTACTACTTCTGACTGCAGGAGGGGGACGTGCAGGACGGAATGCCGTTCCAGACAACAACATCTCCCTAGGTACGGAAAATGAGATGCCGGCGTGAAGTACCCTGGCCTAGCCTTCTCCATGACTTGCGAGTTTTTCTATGTGCCCTGAGCTTCTTTTGCTTTGTCGGGAGTTGCTTTCCCATATAGGTCTTGGGTGCAGATGTAGGGCTGTCAACTTCCAGGTGGCACCCGGAGATCTCCCGCTGTTACAGTTGACCTCCAGACAGCCAAGATCAGTTCCCCTGGAGATTTGGGGGGGGGGGGAGAAAAGGGCTGCTTTGGAGGGTGGGTTCTGTGGCATTATATCCTGCTGAGGTTCCTCCCCTTCCCAAGCTCCCCCCCCAAAAAATCTCCAGTTATTTCCCAGTGCAGAGCTGGCAACCCCACATCCTCCTGCAGGTTTAACTGGGACAGCACAGATGCAGCCTGATCTTCTCTCCCAAGTTCAAATTCTTGACATTGCCGCTTTCTACAACCCTAGTTTCAATTTGTTGCTCAGATAAACAAACCGTACTCTTTCCTAAAGGGCAGGAATGAAGGCAGGTAGTGGTCAAACTAGGGCTGCAGAGACCTGAGTTCAAATCAAATCCCCACTTGTCAGGCCCTGTCATGCTCTTTCAGCCTCCCCTACCTTACAGGGCGGTTGTGAGCATCAAATGGAGGCGAGGGGAACTGTGTGTGTCGCTCCCTGGTGGAGGGGCAGGTTAAAAAGGTGGTAGAAATACAGACCCCATTGTAGTTCCTTGGGGGCCTCACTCTACCGTGTCGAGAATGCAGCCACAATCTCCTGTGGTCCTTCAGCTGAACAGTCTCATCCTGATCCAGAGATCTTCTCCAGTCCGTTTTGTCAAGGCAGGGATTGGTTCTGTGGGCAAAGAACGCCACATTCTCAGAGTTCAGGCTGATAGTTGCCACCCACAAGATGGATGGCAGTAGCAAAGGTCAGTGTCACAGACAGTGCCCAGGGGGTGATCAATGCAGGTTAACCTGTTCTCCATCAGCCATAAAATCGGTTTAAAAATAGGCTGGGGAAACTTGACAAACAATGCCAGTCACACTGCTTTGAACAGGGCGGAAAAACACCCATT